TCCGATTTCAACATGACCCAATGCATTGAACCAAGGCCAATCAAGGTTTGCCCAATGTGCTGTGGAAGAACATGACCGGCCTGCACAGAGCGCTGACCTCAGCCCCACCCAGCATTGCTGGGATGGACTGGGACACTGTGCCAGACCTTATCACAATTATCAATCCATGATAAAGCTGTTAGAGGAGCACATTAATGCTCATGGCTTCGGAATGACATGTTTAAATCCACATTTGTCCACATACTTTTGGCCTTCTCTAAATATATTTATAAAAGAAACTAGTGGAAGATCAAGACACGAGAACCCACTGAGTGTTTTTCCAGCTTTTATGCCTCAGTGACATTGAGTTGTTCTCTTTACTGTTGTGATGACGCTGATGGGAGAATTGAAGCTTGTTTCTATCATGGCTGTCTCTCCCTGTCATTAAATAGTGCCTGTGTATTGACATTCCATCTCTCAGGCCTTTTGTCAAACAGCCATCGATGAGTTGCTGAAATCCACTTCACAGCGACGTACTCTTTTCGAGTAGCTGGCACCACTTTCCAGCCGACTGTGTGCTACAGGCCCATGAGAGGTGTGCGGGCGGTGCACAGAGAGGAGCCTGAGTGTCAGAGTACCACGCTGATGAATCACAGACGTGGATCTGAAGCAGAGAGGGCGATGGTGAGTAGGCTGGGCATGAAGGGTGGATCAATGCTGCTCACTGGATGCTGAGGGGGAGGGGGGAGGTGAATATACACAGGCAGAACTCAAGTCTTTTGTCATTGTGCTCAAGTGGTGTCAGGACTGCCCTGGTGGCCAAGGGGTCAAGCTGCTGGACCTTGAAGCGCAATGTCCCCAGTTTGAGTCTAGTGGTGGACTGTGTCTGTCCCCCTTCATTTCCTGTCTCACTACTGGTGGCTCTCTAATCAAGATAAGAATTGCCCCAAAAACAATAATAAAAAGAGGTCAGGTCTTTAGGAAGTCAAATTCAAATAACCTAAAGAAATAATTGATAATCTGCTTCTTCACTTTCACACCAAGAGTGAGATGAGAAGACTGAGATATAAAGCTGCAGCTGGCAGCCAGTTGATTAGATTTATCTCTCAGATGGAACAGGGAAATAACTAAGCTGGAGGCCATCAGAGAGGCCGACAACACGGCACGGGTGGAGAGTCAACAGCCTCTCGCTGACTCTCCACATTATAGAAATGAGAGAAATGAGTTATTTCCCCAGGAAGTCAGCATGAGGAAAACTAGACATGACTGCTCAGACTTCTGATTATTTAGAGTGTATTTGATGTGTATGTCACAAATACAGCTTCTTCTTTTGTTACTTTTGGACATGAGCTCAGCTGTTTCTCCCCGTTTTCAGTATTTAAGACAAACTTGGATTCATATTTAGCATCCAGACATGAGAGGGGTATCAGGCTTCTCACTCAGGAAGCTAATAGGTATATTCTTAAGGTGTCAGACTGTTCCTTTCAGCCTTAAGTCCTGTTTTGTGACTTGAGTTGAAATCTTAAGCATCAGGTCTACAACTACACAAGCTGAGCCTACTCATTTCAAACACTTGTTCATATTCAGTTCATTTAAACCTTCTTCTGGGGCATGTCTCACGTCTGGTCACAGCAAGTCTCAAGTCAAGTCTTAGGTCCTTGTCCAAGTCGAGTCACAAGTCTTTCAGGTGTAGAAATGCTGGTTCTGTACTTGAGCCTGAAATACTTTTAAGTCTCACAGCAGACCTGGACCAAGTCTCAAGTCCTAGTTGTCATGGTAAATGTCTGACTTGTGTTCAAGATCCAAGCTGAAGTCCAGTCTGTATGTGTCTTCATTTCAACTTTGTTTTTGAGGTGTCTCAAGTTCTTGGGGGCAAATCCATTCACAAGTCTTCATAAGAAAATTGTCAGTTAAAAGTGTTTCAGGTCTCTGAAGTTTTCCTGTTAACCCTGTATTACCTGTGTTTTTGATATAACATAAAAATACTGATCTATTCAAGGTGTGTAGCTGCTGCTGGACTAATGTGTTAACTATGACTTTAAGTCAGACCTGGGTCTCATGTCTACGTCTCATTACCTGAGCTCATCAACAGTCACTTTCTTAATTCATTTGTGTACAGTTACACTTCAATACAGAGCGGCAGCCAACAAACATAATGGACGTCTACATTCAATTATGGAAACCAATTGTGGAGATTGGCTTCTAGCAGAGGAGCAGATCAATAGGCTGCCTGACAGTGGGAATGTTTGCTGCAGCAAAGACCCAACTTGCCTGATTGATTTTCATTAACTGTCTGCAGCTTGGTCTCCTGGATCAGCTTTAATCAGATGTGATGACAGTCCAGACACAGTCAGTCTGTTGTGGTGTAGCGGGCCGAGGCTGCACTCCAGCCCAAAGCATCTCACCTGTTTGATTCCGCTAATAAACGTGTTGCTGGACAGAAAAGGCGCTGCTCTTCTCTTCGTCCTGTTTTCATAAATCCTCATACCAAGGCCTTGAGATCGTGATGTGTGGGATTCCCCAACCCACCACATAAAGCTGTGACATCCATGAAAATGTGGCTCCCTCCCACTCAAACCAGTCAGAGCCCACTCAGCCAAAAGCAGTCACACCACACAAACATAGAGCAGTGTGAGCAAAGAAGTCAGCAACAGTGATGTGTTATATCCAGGCATATTATACCCCCCCCCCCATACACAAACAAACATTGAAAAACTGTAAGAAAGAAAAAAGTAGCCTACACGCAGAGTAAAGCCTCTGTATAGTACAGCAGGAACTTCACACGTGCCTGTCCGAAGATCCTGAAAGCATCACAGTTATTTCTGATCACAGTGAATGACTGTGCAGACTACAGTTTGCGCATAGAGGCATTCAGGTCTTCTGAATGGTTGTAGCGGAGGCGGCGTGGGCAGCGTGTGACACAGCGGAGGGGGCGTGGCTTGTTTAGATGCTGTGCTGCATTCACGGACTCACTGTGTCAAGAACCCAGAGTGACGTTTTAGAAAACTTGGTCAGCAATTGTTATTTGATAATAGTAAGTGGCTTGTTGAGTGGCTTAAGATAGGAATATTACTTTATTATCAAGTCAAGTCAAGTTCAAACCGTGTCAGTTTATTTACTTAGCCTAATATCTCAGATCACAAATGTGCCTCAAGGGGCTTTACAACCTGTAGAGCATACAACACCGCCTGTCCTTAGACTCCTGAAGTGGATAAGAAAATCCTCCTTTAACATGAGGGATAAGGGTGGAGGGGTGAGGGGGGATCCCTCTTCCAGGACACAGATGGGAAGTAGATGTCATAGCCCTATGTTCAGAATAGAGCCACATAACACACTTGTAGTGTGGACACTCTGAATGAAAACGTTGTATATTGTAAACATACACTGTAAAAAAACATTGTATCAACATGTATGAATGATCCCGGAGGATGAACCAGGTGCCTCCAACAGACCCGAGTCACGCTAGAAGAACTGAATCAAATCTCTGGGCATTTAGAAAAACCGTCTGTCCTAAGAGAAAGGGACCTGAACTCATCACTGAAATCTCCTGCTGACACTGCTGAGCTGATCGGCTGGAGAGGAAACCTGGAGACTATCCTGGGGCCCTATCCAGAGCCTTCCGAAGCCTCATTTCTTTATGTGTTAACTGGTTTCTGCTACAAGGTTGTTGGGGAAAAGACACTGCTAAAGCAGCACAATATCAACACATCATCATGTCTGGAATTTTATATTGGGCCCCACTTTGCCTGATTTTTTTCCCTTCTTGATGAAACCTGGGGCCCAGAAGAATGGCAGCATAGAAGCCCGTGCATTTTGCAGAGAATGGGAGGAATTGGTTGGTTAATAAGAGCCCAGCAGCTGTCCATGTAGTGCTTTAGTCTGGCCATGTCACAGCTCTGGCCTACATGATGAATATCTTTTCAGAACTGCCTTTCTCCAGGAATAATCATACACTGAAGAACTGCTAAACATTCATGTTTGTTTGTTTGTTTTTTTTTACCAGAATAGTCAGTTTCAAAGATACAGTACATACAGTCAGTCTGTTATGGAATCTGCTATTTTATCACACGGCTTAGTTATTCCATAACTTTATCGTTGCTTGTTTATTGTCCACGACATTAAAATTTCTGACCTAACATCTTGTGTCTTGCCAACAGGCTCTTCAGGTGCGACTCGGTCTTAATCGCTTAGTTCCCCACCGTCCTTGAAGGCAGCACCGTTCCTCCACCTCTGCGCTCCAACCGGGAGCCACCGACTGACTGAGTGGCTGCGTGGGGAGCCGGTGTGGGCGCAGCGGAGGACTTTCCTATAAAAGCAGGGATTCCGCGACTAGGCGAGCTCGTCTCTCTCAGATAGCGGCAGATAGACGCGCTTATTCCCGCCAACAGCCTTCTGATCTCTCCAGTTTGATCGTCCCAACCTCATTCAAAGGAAATCTTAGTCTATGGTTCTGACCAACGCTCCAACAAGGATGTCCCGGACCGACGAGGTGCATCGTATAACGGAGAATGTGTACAAGGTAAGACAGATTGTTTGGTAGTGTGTTTGCCAGCCGCAGAGCGCGCGTCCTCCGGTGGTGGAGGGACACCTGCTGCACCGGTGACCGAGGGCGCACAGTGGATAACTTTGACTCGGGTGACCCGACTGGTGGCTTGACACTTAGGTGACACAGGCGCCTCTTCTTTTATGCGGTGAAGTGATTTAATGATAAAAAGATGTCTAGTCACAGGAGAAACACAGAAAGCGTTTATTCGCCTTTTTTCCCGGAAAAGACTCTGGATAACCTGGCTCACCCTGAGGCTGCTTGGTGGCCTCTGTCTAGCTCATACGGACCGGGGTTAGTCTATGATGGCAGCTGCTTATTTTCAGCTAAATGACAAAATGTTCACAAAGCCAAGCACAGCGTGTCCCCAACCCGCTTTCTCGTGCAGTTGACAAACCATCAGCTAACTCGTAACACATCAGTGGAGAGGTACCACAGGTAATCATCTAACAGAACTGTAGTCGATCACCTGGCTTAGAGATAATCGATCCCCTCAGCAGTAGTGGGAGCCCACTGGGAGGGTCCAGGCCCCCTCTCTCCCTGGTTACAGTGCGTTATTTGCCCTAACTGTGCGTGCCAGACATTTAGATGTCACTGGCTCCGACCAAGCGCTCCAGAGTGGCAGTTTCAGTTCAACACATGGCAGAGTCAAGCTGTGGCACCTCTTTGTGGAAGTATGTCACTGACTGATAGAAGTTATGCATCCCATCATTTGTGGCAATATTCCTTTGAGGCTGTGCTGTCGACCCTGTGCAGCTGCAGAATCCCCAAAGCTTTATGCGAGGAGCTCGTCCTGGTTGCACACGCCTCCAGAGAAACACGGAGGGAGCAGGAGAGGTGTCGGTGGGCCGGAGAGCTCAGGTCAGCGGGAGGTCATGGCTCCTTGTGTGGACCATGACCTGAGGATTTAGGCCCCTACGAAAAAGATGGGAGTCATTTCAGGTTTTGGCAGAAAACCGACCATGAGTGCGCGCGCGCAATGGTGGGGCATTAATGGTGCACAAGCAGTAGCTTGATATGGTGACCTGTGGGGCGCTTCCTGGGACTGTTAGTAGCTGGAGCTGTAGAGTAAAGAGGAGTGGGGAAGGTGCCAGGAGCTGGTGCTTAAGTGACACATAGGTTCATCATGACACAGTTAATGTTTGAGTCCATTATGGAGACAAATCGACTAGTTTCAGCTTCTCTGTGGCGCCTTTATGTAACTGTACATTTGGCTTTTGGCCTGTTGGTTGGGGCGATGTGAACATGGCACCTTGGGATCTGGAAACGTGTGCTGAGCATTTTAAAATGTTTTCTGACATTTTCTTGCCAGACACTTTTTTGAATAGTGAATAAAAACACGAGCATTAGATGCAGCTTCAGTTAAATGTTCCGATGGAGCAGAAAATGAAAAGGCCACGGTGCAGCTGTGGAGTCGGCAGGAGCGCGCTGCCACTTGGACCCGCTGCTGGGTGCGCGCTGTGTGCGGTTGTGTTTAGAGGAACGAACGGGTCTTTATTCATTCATTAAATGCAAGGACGATGAAGAGGACTGGAGCTGCTGTCTGCCATTAGATAACACTCAGGCCTGTTTCTGTCGAGATGGCAAATGTCAGTGATTTAAATCATGCAGCATCAAGATGGGGATCATTAGTTCCAGGACATAATATCACAGTGAAGTGCAGAGCATTGACTCACCTCTGGCAAAAATGTTTGCAAACGTGTAGTTTGCACTAACTGTCTGGATCTGCACCAAAATATGCACATCAGTATGACTGGCTGAAACTAGACACAAGGTTTAGATACCTGTGTTACTGGTGACTCACAGAGCCCGGACTAGATTGTTTGGTGTGAATCAGCTGTGAGTGCAGCCTCTAATCCTCCCCAGCAGCCACCGCCGAGCAAGGCACTGGCAGCACAGGGCTGCTGCTGGGAACAGATGATTAGAGGGTGGTTGTGTTCCTACCAGAGACACACACACACAGCATGATGAGCCTCCCCTGGATAAACGGGGATTCTTTTGCTGTTCTCCAGCAGCTCCGTATGCTGTTTTGTGTTCTTTGGTAGACTGTTGGCTGCCAGAATGAGTCGGCTCCAGCTCGACAGCAGAGGAGCTGGGCTGTAACCTCTCCGCTCGGCTGCTGAATGTAATTTTTGGATGACTCACACCGGCGGGTGTGTGTGTGGGCAGTGTCTCACGACCGTGTATGTGTGTGTTGCCAGCACACATACTGTACCGTAGAGTGGCTGGCACTGTAATGATTTCACATAATTGTACATTAAGAAATGCGCAGGGCACCGACTGGTCAGCGTGAAATGTGAAGTAACGCTGCGTTCATACCCATTGACGATGGGGACAAACTGTGCTCCCTCAGGTTGTTGCAGCCACTGAGCAAACGTCGTGTGTGTGTGTGTGTGCGTGTGCGTGTGGAGGAGCCGGTTCAGCTCAGTGAAGCTGCAGTGTCAGGGCTGGAGGATGTCTGTGGAGACCAGCTTCCAAACATTGACCTGTCACAGCGAGTCTCAAGTCAAAACATCGATCAATCTTTGCTGATTCCAGTTTCTTAGACATGAGCATGTGATGCTGATCGGGAATGTTGGAAGCTGGTAAACTTTGGTGTCTGGAAACTGGGATGGGTTTTTTCTCCACTGTTCTCTGACTGGCAGCCATCTTCAGTTGCAGCTCTAGATACAACCAGTGTAAAATGTCCTTATGTTGTTGGGAAAAGGTGAAACTTTTCTTAAACACTATTTATCACCACACATTATGAGGCTGTGGAGCAGGCAGGGTTGGAGGGTGGCGTCTGCTTCAGGCGCAGGCAGTGAGCTCATGTTCCTGGAGAACTTCATGACAGAAACCATCGAAACCACTTTCCCTTGTTGTGTAATATGTTGCTAACTGTTACTTTAAGTGTCTCAGCTGCATTAAAACGGTGGGCAGTGTCGGTCTCTGCTAAAATGACAGGAATGCTGTAACAGGGAACACCCTCGACTGACTAGAGCCATAAATCACTCGTAAATATTGTCATATTTTTAGGCCCAGCCTCCACCAGACATGAGTAGTTGTGGAGCCAAAACCATTCGTTCTCCAGGGAAGAATTTCTGTTCACTGTGTGGGGGGTGTGAGTAATGCTACAGAACACTTGATCAAGTACAATCTGTTCCCAGTTTTTCTGTCTAGAGCCTTTTCGTTTCTTAGACCAGTGAACAAAAACAGAATTTCACTCGACAGTAGTGGTTACCAGCGGTTTAGTGCAACAGAAATAAAAAAGGCTTGTTCCCAGAGCAGTGTGGCGTGAGCAGACAGTTGCTGCAGGTGAGAGGCAGGGCGTCTGCTGGGGAGGGGAACTGTGCAGCAGTAGATGGCCTGGAAAAAAAAGGGGTTTAGCAGAAGGTGCATGTTCTTCTTCCTCCTATACGTCTTTATAAGAAGATGCTCTGGCGTGGTGTGCAGCTTCACACTGAGCTTGTTTATATTTTCTTGTGATGAGGCTCTGCTTTCACCTCTGCCTGCGTCCGAAGCTGCATCACTGACTTTGAGCTTCTGTCCCTGCAGATTTGCGTGCCTGCTGCAGCTGCAGGCTGTGTTCTGCCTTTGTGCCTTGTTACGGCTCTTTGAGCAGCAGCAGTGTTTGTGAGCGTCACCGTGACGCTGTCCCACAGTGGTGTGGGTTGCACGGTTGTGTTATGTAAGAGAGGAACAGTGTGGCACCAGCCGGGCACTTTAACCTGCACTCTGTTGAATTAAATGAATTGTATTGCTGATCTCACTGAAACGGCCCAGCGATGGACCGGGCGACCTGTCCAGGGTGTACCCCGCCTTTCGCCCGATGTTGGGATTGGGTGACATTTAACCTGGAGCCTAAGGTCAGAAGGAGAAAAGGGGGAACAACTAGGTGTGCTCAGGGGATTTACAGCAGAAACACACCATTATTCACTGCTGTGCCACAGTATGCTTCATCCTGATGACTAACACACACTCCTGCATGCTACATCACACATGTGCAGACACTCGTTCTTTCTTTGTGTCGTTGCAGAGGAAATGTTGCCAAAATGTCTCTGTCGCTTCTATAATTAAAGCCCCCCCCCTGCGTCAGTGATATTTTCAGTCAGCACCTTGCACATGTGAACATATGTGTGAGCATATGCTCATTCATGTGTGTAAAATCAGAACCGGGCTGTGCAGACCGACTGGGATGCGTCACTCTGAGGCAGTGACAGTGATGTTGTTCGCTCACATGGCGGCGGCGGAGACTCCCTCGCCGCTCTCACCTCGCCCACCACCCCAGCTTTCCTGTGGTATGGGCCGAACGTGAGGTGAATAAAGATGGGATGCCCTGTCACGGGGGGAATTCCAGCACTTCCATATATGGCTCCGGACGTGCACCTTCCCTCCCGTCCCCTCCTAAAGCCGTGGAACGGGGCTGCTGTGCCTCTACACAGAGAAGAGCTCATCTGAAAGGGAAACTGGCTGAGTTCACACACAGAAAAGTGAATTTCCATTTCCTGAGGCCGGTGAAGCAGTGCAGCTTCAGCGTGGTGCTGTCTGTCTGAGCAGAAGCAAATAATGTCTATTTCCTGGGAAACAGAATAGCGAGGGACACAACGTGTACACCAGCCTGTCACTGCCACATATGGTCTCTAATGCAGCGGGGACCTTTATGGCTCCACTGGCAGCAGTGTTCTGCTGCTTCATGTGCACATGTGCTCTGGGTGAATATGCAGTGTGGCAGGTGTGAAACATGATCAAATGAGCTCATGATCTCATTTCTGTGTAGCTAAAAACTATTTATTATATAAATCAGTTTTGGGAAAATACACATTATGATGCACAGCAGCATAGTTCAGCCAGAGACAGACATCTGTCAGCTGTCTACCAAACCAGCCTAGTGCTGGTTGACTAGTGTCAGTCTAGTGAGTCTACATGGGGAAACAGTTATTGGCCTATTTACCAATAACTGATCAATGCGTTTTAGGAGTTGCTGCTCACCTAATATT